CTCACTTCTTTGGTCTACATTTTAATTTTATATATGCTAAAAACCCACTGTATATTGCTATATTTTTTGTTTATAGTTATTTTTTAAATTGATTAAACATAACAATAGTCTTAACCTTCATCTTAAATATATCCAGAGATCTCTGTTTCTTTGTTTATGTCTAGATTCCTGTCTGGTGTTATATTACCTGTGCCTGAAGACCTTCCATTAACTTTTTTCATTTTTTTTGATGGCACAAGTCTACTGATAATGAATTCTTTCAGCTTTTGTTTGTTTGCCTTAATTTTTCAAAGATACTTTTACGGATATAGAATTCTAGGTTGACAGTTTCTGCCTCCCCGCCCACCCCAACACTTAAAGATGGCTCTCCGGTGTTGTGTGCGCAGTTTCCCATGAGAAGTGCACTGTAATTCTCATCTTTGTTCCTTCGCGTATGATGTGTCTGTTTTCTCTGGCTGCCCCCAAGATTTTCTGTTTATCTTTGGCTTTTGCTGGTTTAAAAATGATGTGCCTAAGTGTAGTGGCTTTGTTGTTTTGTTTTGCTTTTCCAGTGTTTATCCTGTGTAGGTTTTGTCTGAGCTTCTTGGGTCTTTGGTTTGATATCTACTGATTCTTAGGAAGTTCTTGGCCACTAGTGCTTTTCTTCTTCAGCCTTGTTCTTTTCTTTCTTCCTCTTCTGGGATTCTGGTTATAGAGATTAGAGGTTTGACATTGTTCCATAGTTCTTTGATGCTCTGCTCTTTTTTTCTCTCTTCATTTTAGGTATAGATTATTTTATATATTGGCCTTTTTTTCAAATCTACTAATTCTTTCTTCTTCCTTGTTGAGTATGCTTAAGTCAAAGGCATTTGTCTCTGTTACTGTGTTTTTTGATTTCTAGCATTTACATTGACTTTCTTAAAATTTCCACTCTGTAATACATTCTGGTCATCTCTGAGTCTGCTTCTGTTGATTGTTGTTTCTCTTGACAGTGGGTTCAGATTCCTCTAGACCTCAGTACCATGGATGTTTGGGACCAAATCTTTGGGGGAGGGGACTGTCCTGCTCACCATTGAATATTCACCATTTCTGGTCTCCACCCATTAGATGTTAGTTACAGCGCCTATTTGTATCAACTGTAAATGTCTCCATGTGTTGCCAAAGGCCCCTGGGAGGTTGAGGGGGCGAAATTGCCCCCAGTCGAGAGTCACTGCTCTGTCGTCACCTTGTACTGGGTCAGTGCAGTGGCGGTGACTGCTATGGGGGCGGTGGCCCCTCAGCGCTCCTGCCTCGCCCGCGGCTCTCCGCCTTTCCTGTGCGCCTCTGCGTTGGCGACACAAGGAGGGTCCTCTCCCCGTGTTCTTGTCCCCCCACGGCAGGTCACCGCTGCTTGTTACTCGGTGCTGGGCCAGCCTGGCCGTGCGGCTACCTGTCGTCCTGGAGCCCGTCCTCGGCAGGCCCTGTGCACCTGGGCAGGGAAACGCAGTCTCACGTCTGGAGTGGGTCTCCCCACTCCAACCCACGGGCATAGGAGCCTCAGTGATCTCCCTGCAGAGGGTCCTGGGCCCAGAACCATTTACAGCCGTCCACTGGGAGCAGAGGGTTTGACTGTAGCCCTGCCCTCAGCCACAGGGGGTTTTCACCTGTGCCCTAGCTTTGCTTCCCCCTCTGGCTGCTTTGTTCAGTAAGGGAGAAGGGTCCACGTGGGCTCTAAGGAGGCGTCTCTGGGTCTGAACCTGCCCCACCACGTGTGACACCCAGTGCCGACTTCCTGGGGCTGTGGCTTGTACCTGCTGTGGCGACATTCACAGCTGAGCCCGGGGGTCTGCTTTGATTGCATCTTCTCCCCTCCCCGCCCTCCCCTGTCGCCCAGGCTGGAGTGCAGTGGCATCATCACAGCTCACTGATCCTCCCGCCTCGGCCTCCCGCAGTGCTGGGCCTGTTGTATCTTTTTCCCAGCCCTAACTAGACTCCGTCGTTATTCATGTGAAGGACTCTTCCCAAAAGATCCACTTCCTGGTATCCTCCTGCCCTTCTGCCTGGAACCCGCAGTCCCCAGCTCTTCTGTGTCCGTGGCACAGAGAGCGCAGACAGGGCCACACACCTCTGTCGTCTTCACAGTCACACAAACGATGCGTGTGCGTTGTGAAACATCCAGACACTGCAGACATGCACAAACTGAGGAAATCAGTCTTTGTATTTTTTATGTCCTTCCAGACCTTTCTATGTCTATGCTACGTTGAATTTTTTACAAAGTTTTTTAACTTGTTTTTTCCTTTAAATATTGTAAACATTTTCCAAAATCAATAGCTATGGATGCTTTACGTCCACGGGTCTTGACCAGGGGTCCACAGCAGAAGCAGTTGGTGGTGTGCGTGGTGGGGTGGCGTGGGGGGTCAGGGTATACATGCCCTGTTCTATGCCTTTCGATTTTTGTTCCATAGATACGGGGTGATGCCCAGACTGTCTCGGGGAAAAATAAAAACTCCTGGATGGTTCTAATACAGTCTCCTTTGGGCATCAGTGAAGTCCTCGCTGGTTTCAGCGATCAGTAGATCAGTAATGCCACCCAGGCACGTCCTGGGGTCACTATTCTGTGGACTGACATGTTGGTTGTTTCTATCGTTCTGTTGTTGCAAATGCTGCATCTTCCTAGATACGTGTTTGTGCACTTACTCAGGCAGTCTTAAAAGAAGAAAATGCATTTGAAAGCTTTTGCGTTCATTTCTCCAAATTGCTTGCGGTAAAGCTTACACAGAGCTCAGTGTTGGTGTGTCCATTTCTACAGACCTCAGGGCCACTGGCCTGCTCTTGCAGGCCACCTGCTGAGAGGTGACATTGCACTGGGCAGAATGGGAGGAATGTCATAGGCTTTTTATGCTGCATATCTTTCATTACCAGGAAGTTCAGACATTTCATCATGTGTTTTGGGGGCCTTTGTAGTTCTTTTGTGAATTAACAATAATGAGCAGAGGCTTATTTTTCTGTTGGGCTATTTTTTGCTTCTTCTTGGCTGTTGGAGAGCTTTACGTAGCAAACCAGTAACCCTTTGTCTGGCACATTGCAGAGCACGGTAGCGTCCGGGGTGTCTCTCCCCAGAGCAGCCTCTGTGTGCCCCTGGAGGAGCACCCTCAAACTCTGGTCTTCTGGGAACCCTCCAGTGGCTACGTCCCTCAGGCAGACCCAGGAGACTCTGTTGTCTGCTTCTTGCCCTGTGTGGGGTGCTCTGGCTGCTCTGGGATATCGGGAGTCCACGGATTGGCTACCCCATCCCCCACTGCTGGCCTGGCCTGGCTGTCCTACTTGCTGTATCTCCGTTTTCCTTGCGTACCCAGCCCAGACCCACTCTCACCCTGACATTCCAGCTGGTTCTCTGGTCTGGTGCATGTGTGCCAGTTGCTCCTGGCACACTGGGTTTGGCCGTGTGACGGCCGTCTTCTGCAGACTGTGCGGAAGACAGCGGCACCCCCCGGGGTTCCCGGCTGGCCCCCAGCACTGGCGAAAGGCGTGTGCTCGGGAACCCAAGCCAGCCTCGCAAGGCTCCCTGCTCTTCCAGTCAGCTCACACTCGCTGAGCCCCTCCCATGTGTCGGGCACCTCCTAGGGCCTGGAGGGTGGGAAAGCCTCGTGGCCTCGTGGCTCTCTCACTGATCCCTGGTCTTGTCTGGTTGCAGCTGGGCCGGTGCACCAACAGCGTGGTCAAGTATGAGCTGATGCGCCCGTCCAACAAGGCGCCCCTCCTGGTGCTGTGTGAAGACCACCGGGGCCGCATGGTGAAGCACCAGTGCTGTCCTGGCTGTGGCTACTTCTGCACAGCGGTGAGAGCCCAGCCCTCCGGGGCCTCTTGTGTCCTCGGGTCACCAGCTCGCTCCCATCCTGCATCCCCCTGCTGCAGGGCAGGCCACCGACGGCGAGCCTCAACGGCGCCCACCCCGAGGTCTGCAGCACCTCCCGAACCCCTCGCCACAGCTCTCGAGGTGTCCCGCCCTAGAACTACGTCCCTCCTCATCTCCCTACTCCTGCCGGGAGCCTTCAGCCTTCCGGAGATGACGGGACCCTGGCCTGGGCCCTCTCAGCCCCCACCTCCTCGAGCGGTCGTGACCCTCTGTTGGAGTAGAGAGCGCCCTTCTCCTGAGCAGAGGCGCGCCTGCGCCCTCCTAGGCCTGGTGTTCCGTCCTCCATCAAACGTGTGCTCACCAGTGCCCCGGGGACCCTGAAAACGGGCCTCTTCCCCACGAGCACACCTGTGAGCGTCTGCTTGTCTGTGTGCGCCCACGCGGGTGAGCGTGTTGGTGGGTGCGCCTCTGCTGTGCGCACCCGTGGGTGCCTGCTGTCACGTTTACCGGCAGCTTCAGATACCGCACACGCCCTGCAGCCCCTCTGTGGACCTGGGCCAGGAGTTGCCACTCTGTGGGGGTTTCTCTTTGGATTTCACACCTTTTGTTCCCTCCCCTGTCTTCAAACATCCTTTTTTTTTGCTTCTGCTAAAAGTGCGAGAAGCTGCTTTTCTAGTTTTCTGCAAGAACGTGCTGTTCTTACTGCAGTGGGTCCCTCCTGGTGGTTCCCTGCGGCCTGAATTGCAGATGTCGTCAACCTTGGTGTTCTGTGGTTCACGTCTGTCCCTTCATCAGCCCTGCAGAATGCGGGCCTGTCCCAGGGCCCTTCTTTGGACTTTTCTTTTCGTGCAGCCTCTAGCTCAGGTAGAGGAAGGCCTTGGCCTTCCTGGGTCCCTGGGGGTGGGATGGGGCCAGTCAGGTGACCCCTGCCAGGTTCGGCTTTCGTTTCTTTTTCTTCTTGTTGTGGCAGAGGGTAACGTGCTGACATTGTAGCAAGGGTGAGGGAGGCACAGCTCACACACACACACCTGAAAACCCGATCGTCGTGCCGATGAACCACGGAAGGATTGGGCGCGGCTTTCTCTTGGCAGGACACATGGGGTGCTCTATTGTGGCTCTGTTCTTCCTTCTCACCCGCCGGAGACGGGGAGCCAGGACTGCACTCCCCCAGCCTGGCTACCGGACTCAGTCGCTCAGCCCGGCCAGACTTGAGAGGCAGCACCAGCTTAATCGTGCTTTGTCTGTTTTTTTGAATGTTAGCCCCAATTTTTAAAAAGCGATTTTCCCTCTTCTTGTTTTTAGGGTAATTTCATGGAGTGTCAACCCGAGAGCAGCATCTCTCACCGTTTCCACAAAGACTGTGCCTCGCGAGTCAACAATGCCAGCTACTGCCCCCACTGCGGGGAGGAGACCTCCAAGGCCAGAGAGGTGACGATAGCGAAGGCGGACACGACCTCCACAGTGACGCCGGTGCCCGGGCAGGACAAAGGCTCGGCCCTGGAGGGCAGGGCTGACACCACCACGGGCAGGTGCTTGACAGGGGCATGGCCACGCTGTCCAGGGGGTTGGCCTGGAGGTGGCGCCACCGTTAGTCGCTGTCGATCTCTGCTGTTGAGTCCCACAGTCTAGCTGACTGGTGCTCGCTCTGAGAGCCGGCGTGTCAGAGACACTGAAACTCACTCACTGCCACTGCACGCGGTCTCCTTCAGTTGGGACTTACAGGTTCACGTGCCTGTCTCTGAGCCAGTTTTCACACAGCCTCGCTGCAGTCCTTTCACCGCAGTCCTTGGCATTAAGGTTTGGAGGCCCTAGCTGACAGAAACAATCTAAAAGAGTTAGAAGTGTTCATATCAGACACATGTAATTGTCTTCCTAAAAGAATCCAGTAGAAACAGCTGAAACGTTTTTAGAGCTAAAAGGAGTCAGTGAGAGGATCAGGTAAGACAGAGACAGCAGAAGGCAGGTGCCTTGTTCCTCCCAGCGATACTCTGCCAGAAACTAAGACAGGGCAGGATGCACTTTCAGAGCAGCAGCAAAACCCATGAACTAACCCAGCACAAAAAGAGAAAAAAGAACTTAGATGTCACAAAAAAAACTAAATCTTCACTGATGGTCGTTTCAAAGAGACTCAGATTGTGGACATACCAAAACTAACAATCGGAAAGGTGTCTGTTCCTTCTTACTAATCTGTCAATTTAAGTAAAAACTGCTGTGGGATTTCCTTTTGTGGGGAGGGCAGTGGACTCGATAGATTGAGTGTGAAGCTCAATCTTGAGAGGAGGTTTGAGCACAGGGCCTGGAAGTCCTGGAAAAGTTGTCCTCGGTTTTGAATATCATATTTCCCAGGAAATTTGATTCTGAACCCTGACTGTTTTTTCATCCAGGGGCTGAGCAGGTAATAAGCAAATTGGCAGCTGTTGTCTTTCAGAGAAGCAGCGTACTTAGATTGGAGCAAATCATGTTTTACGCTTTCATTGGTTTCCATCGGAAGGTGGTATTCTGACCACTAGACTCAGCCTCACCGCTTTCCTCCCATGCAGCGGGGCGGGGCCACTGCTGGACGACAAGCCGCACAGCGCAGGGCCCCCAGCGCCCGAGGGCTTCGATCCGTCGGGACCCGCTGGGCTCATTCGGCCGACTCCGGGACTTTCCCAGGGACCAGGGAAGGAGACCTTGGAAAGTGCTCTGATTGCTCTCGACTCGGAAAAGTAAGAACTGGTCTGTGATTCTAGGGGCGCCTCAGGGCCTGTTGTCATCAGGACCGTGTGTCCTGCTCCATGGCATCACTGTGGCACTTCTTAGCTTTTTGATTAATGCTGTTCATCAGCACAGTCTGCGTATTTTTACACTATTTTGGGAAATTTTTGCAAGTTACTGTCCTCTTCATTGTGCTAAGAGCGAAAGTCCTCGGTGAGGCCAGGCTTGGTGAGCTCTTGGGACCTTCCCCCGGACACTCCTGCGCCTGCCTCGAGTGGCCATTCCCCAGGTCCCTCTCTTTTCTGTGCAGTGCAAGGATCAGAGGAGGCGCCCCCTTGGCTCAGCTGATAGCTCCCAGACACCACCCCCTCCTGGCCCGACTGGGGCCCACGTCCTCCTCTCCTCCAGGAGGCAGACAGACAACTACACCACGTCTCCTGGGAGGTGAAGCGTCGCGTTTAACCTGGCGCCTGGCAGAGGAATTCCAGTGTTGGCAGATGCCTCGTGCTAGGCCTCTGTCGCCCTGGACAGCCTCCTCCCTGGGGCTCCCTCTCCGTCTGTCTGCAGCCTCGTCTCTGAGCCTGTTCTCGCCCTCAGCCCCTGCTCACTGCAGGCCCCGGGCCGCTCCCCACTCCTGCCTTCTGTCCTGTGCCCCAGTTACCAACTCAGTTATCCAGTCAAGGTTTCAAAGCAAACACGCCTGTGTTCCCGGCTCCGCTGCCCAGGCGTCTTCTATACCTGCCGGAGGGGCCCCATGGGACAGCATCGTCACCCCTTGTGAGCAGGCCACATGCTCTGCCTCCCTTGACCTCATTCACCAAGCGGTGCTCGAATGCTGTGCGCAGTCTGACAGTGCGCGGCACCCTCACGTGTGACTAACTGAGGGGACGGCTGTGCATTGTGGTGGTGGTTTTACTTTTACTGTGAAACGCGTCGGGGTTGGCAGGTTTGGGGCATTTGACTTGAGGGGCTGGTGGGGAGATGCACCCGGGCCCTTCAGCCTCCAGCTCCACGCGCTGCCTCACGGAGCCCGTGCTGACGGCTGCGCTGCACTTTCCACAGGCCCAAGAAGCTTCGCTTCCACCCAAAGCAGCTGTACTTCTCCGCCAGGCAGGGGGAGCTGCAGAAGGTGCTGCTCATGCTGGGTAAGTGCCGGGCCGGGCTCGTGGGGCTGCCGTGCGGGCACTCGGAGGAGCAAAGAACCATGTCTCCCCTTTTCTCACGAGGCCAGTCTCGTTTTGTTTTTCTGTTCACGTGATTCTGCGTCCTCTGATCAGTGCAAGTAGGCTGCCCGCCGGCGTTCAGCCTTTTCAGGATTCATACGATGTTAATATTCAGTTATTCAGGGTACTAGAAATATTCTTTATGCATTTCTAATTTTTAAAAGGGAATTAAATGTGGAATAACTAAATCAAGCAGAAATGTAGATGCAAAAAACAAAACTAGTGAGTCGGGGTCCCCCTGTGACGTGCAGCGTTGATGAGAAGCAGACGTCCTCTCTGCGCTGGTCACGGCAGCAGCGCTGTGGGCAAAGCATGATTCAGTTGCGTTTAGATCTGGAGCACATTGCTGCATTTGTAATAGATAAATCCATGGATTTGGATTTCTAATACCCGAAAACATGCTTGTCAGAGCCTTCCCTGTGGGGACGGCTGTAGGTTTGGTTTCTCTGAAGTTCATCTTCTCTGGGTAGAATGGGTGATTACGAAGCCCTTTCCTCGACAGCAAATCATGAAAGAAGCTGAACAGTTTGGTGTAAAAAAAAGGGTTTATTTATGTTGACCAAAACAGCAGATTTAATCGTTTTCCTCATTCCCATGATGCTAAAGTCACCTCACTGCACGATTGGTCTCTTGGCTCACTGTCCGTTTAGGTTCCCTGGGGGTGGACACGTGTGCCAGTCATCTGTGTCTGGGCCTCGCTCTGCCCTAGGGGTTTCTGCCTCCGTGGCCTCCTCATGGGGCCTGGGCGGCCGTGGCGGGAGCGGTGGGCACAGAAGGCACAGAGACTCAGGGAGGAGCGTGCGTTGTCAGGGTGGTTCTGACTGCCGGGCCTGCCTGTCACTTCCTCGCGAAATGCACGCTTCCTGCAGACCTTCCCAGGGCCCGGCCTGGCCACAGACAGGAGAGGCGTGTGCTGGGCTTCTGCCAGCCTTTCTGACGTCCTCACGAGGCATCGTGGGCAGCATCTGAATAATTAGGAAAACCGTGTTTGTTCACAGTTGATGGGATCGACCCCAACTTCAAAATGGAGCACCAGAGCAAGCGCTCGCCCCTGCACGCCGCGGCGGAGGCCGGCCACGTGGACATCTGCCACATGCTGGTCCAGGTTCGTCCAGGCCCCTCCCAGGGCTCTTCACCTGCTCTTTTGTTTTTGTCAAAGCAAAATCGACCCAGATACATAGTTCCTAACAGTTAAAACTCACAGGTGCTGTGAGGCGGAGACAGTCAGTGTTCCTGTCCTTCCCGTCCTGCAGCCGCGGTGGGCTTCCCCCCATTTCTTCTGGCGTTTGCCACCACGCTTGAAAATAACGTGCTGCTAATGCGGCTGTTTCTTGATTTGCTTTTTTTCAGTTTTAGTTTTGTTTTCAGTTTATAGTATTGGCTGACGTCCTGCTGGGAAGGTGAGGGCGAGGCGCGCACGCCGCTTCCCTCCCCAGCTCTGGGGGGCCGTACAGCCCTTCTTAGAAGTCGCTGCTCAGAATTTGCATCACGTGACCATGCAAATACTTTCCAGCAGAGCCACATATCTGCGGTGGCGTGTTTATAGTTAACGGTCGTCTCGTGTTTTGGGTGAGTTGGCTCTGCCTCCCAAACACACGGCAGCGCGTCTGTGTCCGCGCAGATGCCGCGATCACCCTTGGGACGCCCCTTCCCCGACCCCTCTCTTGGGTTCCCTGTTTCTCAGACGCCACGTTCTGAGTCGGTGCAGTCTGACTTCTGATCCTTCACATGTGACCTTTTATTTCTGGAAGCTTCAGGAACGTTTCACCCCGTGGTAGCGCAGGTCCTCCCTGGTCCGTGGTGTTGGCTGTGACTTCTGTCGGGAGCTCCTCCGCCTGCCCAGCCTCACGCTGGCTCCTGCCGGTGGGGCGGGACCTTCTGGACCGAGTCCCGGCCACGGCCCAGCCCCCAGCTCTGGGCTCCACTTTCCAGGCGGCCTCTTCAACCTCGGGCTCCCGGCGGTTTCCTGTGCACTGCCGCCTTCCCACCCCCGGGAGCCTTTGCTGCTCTCGGGCAGTTCCCGTTCTTACAGCCTCTCGCTCTCCCCTTGTTTCTCTGAAGATAGTACGGCTGTTTTTAAGTTTTATGCCGCTCTGTTTGTTTTAGTCTGCCTTTCATATTTTACGGTTTTCCTCAAACGCCTGGTGATTTTGTTTGTTTATGTTTAAAGTACTAAAACGCCAGTGGTGAGCTCTTGGCTGGGGGGAGCTTGTCAACTGCTGGGTGACCTGCAGGTTTGGGGGTCATCTGGGGGCCCCTAAACACGGCTGTCTGAGCCCATCCGCTCAGACTGTGACCTGTCTGGACCTTTCCTGGAGCTGAGAGGAGACATTTGGGGCCGGGCCACCGGCTGTGCCACACCCCCACCTCCGCCCTCGCTGGTGCCTGGCTCACATGTCTAGTCCACTGTGGGCGTTGTGTTACTGTTTGCCTGGACCGTTTTTCATCCTTTTATTCGGACTATTTTTTCCTCCTTTTTGGATATATGTATTTTAAACATGCAGCTCTATTTTTAAAAACTCGATCTAGGCCTGGCACAGGGGCTCACGCCTGTAATCCCAGCACTTTGGGAGGCCGAGATAGGAGGATCGCCTGCGTCCAGGAATTTGAGGCTGCAGTGAGGTGTCATGACTCCACCGCACTCCAGCCTGGGCAACACGAAAGGCACAAACAAACTTGGCTTGACAGTCTTAGCATAGAAACCTTTAGTTCAGGTGTACTTCTAATTTCTAACATATTTTTGTTTGTATCTAATATCTTATAATGTTAAGGCCCCCCTACCGTTAGTCCATTTTCTGTTTCCTTTTTTTTTTGAAAATGGTCCATTGCTGGTGGCATATTTTCTGTTCCTGTAACAGAATACTTGAGACTGCGTAATTTGTAAAGAAAAGACATTTATTTCTTCAGTCCCGGAGGTTAGAAAGGCTGAGGTTGAGGGGCTGTACCTGGGGCGGCTCTCGTGCTGGGTCAGAGCCCAGGAGAGGAAGCACTTACCGCTGCTGATCTTAGAGGGGTTTTTGCTTTTGTGTGTGTTTTCTTCCTCTCAGAACCTAAGCAGTTTTGCTGCGGTTCTCCGGGGAGAGAGGTGGGATGGCTTTGTTTCTAGCTTGCCCTGACTCCGAGGGTGGTGTTCCCAGGGTTTCAGCGTTGGTGGGGGTGTCGGGCCTCGCACCCCTCGCCGGCAGGCTCTGGCAGAGCAGTCGTGGAATGGCGCAGGTGCGCCCGGCTGCGGTGCCGCCTCTTTGGGACCCTGCTCTGGGCGCCCCCTCCGGTTCCTGTCCTCACTCGAACTTTGGACTGAGGGTCCGTGCCAGCACAGGGGCACCTTCCAGAGCCGTTGCTGTATTTATCCCGCCGATTCAAGTTTTCATCGAGGGGGTCTTGCTGGAACCAGAGCTCTTGTTTGGCTCAAGTCTCCCTGTCCCACCTGGGCCCTGCCACGTGGCTATTTGAAGTTCAGATGAACACAGGTAAAGAAAAGGGGGGTGTGCCCCTCAGTCACACTAGTTGCCCCTCGAGGGGTCGGGGCCACAGCCCTGCAGCCGCATGGAGAACATCCACTCCCCCCAGGAAGCATGTCCCTGGCCTCCAACCTAGCGGCAGCCCCAGCTTTTGTGGTGCTGGGGAGAGGCTTGGCGTCGGTCCCGTGGCATCCTCAGTGCCAGGGCTGCAGCCTCCAGCCCCCTGGGCCCCGGCTTCAACCCACAGGCTTGGCCACGTTCTCCCACCCTCCCGAGTCAGGCGCTGGGGCCCTCTGCCAGCTCTGGGGTGTCCCATCAGCAGTCCTGCCCCACGCTCGCCACTGTGTCCGGACTCCCTGGTAGCGCCCAGTGAGGCTGCGCTCTCGTCGGAGACGTTGCCACGGACTCTCATGTTTCCGTCCGTCTGCTTTTCCCTCATCTCTCAACTGTTTTTTAGAAGTTCCTTTGCTGTTATCTCCCACCACCACCGCCAAGACCACGTGGGGTCCAGTCTTTATTCCCAAACCCCTTTCCCCCAAAAGGTGCTGCCTCTTCCAAGACAGTTGAGAGAGGGCAGGACAGGACCCCGTCAGGCTTCCCTCCCCCAGCCCGGAGCCAGGGAGCGGGTGACAGGTGGGAGGGACGGGCCGATGGGCGGGCGATGGCCTGTGAAGGTGGGCCTGGAGGAGCTGCTCTAGGCCGAGCCCTGCTTCTCCGTCCTTGCCTCGTGCATGGTGGCAGGGACGTGATCGACGGCCAGGGTCCTGCCCTGCTAGGCCACACTGCGTGTGGAGTGGTCCAGCAGACGTCGTGGGCGTCCAGCAAGGCCGCAGACACCCTCCTCGCCTCGGTGCCCACCAGCAGGCCCGCGGGGTTGGGGGGCGGCAGCTCCATGCAGGAGCCTCACCGCCGTGCCGGGAGAGCAGCCAGCCCGGGGCAGGGGCAGTCATGGAGACTTTCGTTGGGGCACGCCCTGGAAGGAGGCTTCCAGATCCCAGAGCAGCCTCGAGGGCCGTCGGGTTTCAGGCCCCCTAGTCTGGGCTGGTGGAAGGTGGATACCTGAGATGGGAGCTGCGTGGTGCCAAGGGCACGACCACACTGGGGGCATAGATGGGCAAGTAGGTGGGCAGCTGCCCCCAAAGGGGGCCCTGTGTCCCCCATCGGACGGCCCCCAGGAACTGGGGTGTCCTGCAGTAAGTGGAGGGGCCAGGCTCTGAGCTCGGGGGAGAGGGTATGGGCCCAATGGCTCCCCCCCGGGAAGTCTTCCCTCCGCTCCCGTGGGCCCAGGGAGGGGCGGACGGGCCACGGAGGCTTTCAGAGGAGGGCAGGGTGGAGCAGGCGCCGCTCCTCTCCACTCTCCCTGCGTCCATCAGCCTGGGCTGGGGGGAGTCCCCCCCGCCGGCCCCTTAGCAGGGACTTGACGCCGAAGCCCTCGCAGGGGCTGCACACGCAGCACGTAGCGGCCCAGGTCCTTGGCGGAGGCTCCACGCGCCCCTGTTCTGCCGGCACCTGCACGGGGCCGTGTGCTGTGGCCGTGGCGCCTCTGCGGGGTCAGGCTCACGTCGACCGCCCAGAGTCTGCCCTTGGCCTGGGCTTTGCAGGTCCCTGGGCACCTGGGGTAGGGGCAGACTTGGGTGGGGCCGCCGACCCCCAGATGCTCAGGACCTCTGTGCCCACCCTGCCCCCCAGGTCCCAACCCTTGCCCTGCCCCACCTTACGGAAGCATCTGTTGGAGGAGAGGGTGGATGGGGACGGAGTCTTTCCCGCCCTCGTGGTCGTCCCTGAAGAAGGGGAGCTCGGCCTGGCCTGACGGATGACCTGGGCCAGCTTCAGCCTGTGTCACCAAGGTGGTGGTGGCCAAGTGGGTGGGGGGCTTACCACACCACAGGTCTCTCCCCTTCCTTTTGGGGGCTGGGAGGGCAACTCTGCCTCTGGACCCCAGCAGGGAAGGCAGCTGGCAGGGCCAGGCCTGGCGTGGGGCGCAGGGCAGGGGTGGCGAGTCCAGAAGCTGAGCCCTCACCTCTCGCATTGAAAGCACTGGCCCGCCATCTGCGCATGTGCTGGGCATGTGCAAGCGCAAAGCAGAAGGCGCGTTTTCTGCGAGTCGCAGAGCCTTGACGGGAGGGGTGGGGCGCCTGCTGTACTGGCCCCCCTGGAGACCCAGGACATGGCCACGCTGGGGCACTCCGCTCTGGGGTGCGTGGCAGGTGGGCTTCTGCATCTGGGCAGGGCCCTGGTTGGAGGCCGCCTAACTTGCCTGCTGACGAGGGCCAGGACAGGGGAGGCCGGTCTCTCTGCTGAGAAATCCCATCAGTCGCCTGGGATCTCTCGGTTTGATTCTCTCTTCCCTGTACTCCTCTCTGTGTTCTGAAGATCTTGGAGATTTTTCGACTTTGTCTCTGAGCCCTCATTATGTTTTCGGGGTGGTGGTCAGTTTCTCCTGGTTGTTGGGGCTCTGGGTTGCTGTGTGGAGCGAGCCGCTGGCAGCTCCGAGTTCGGGTGGGCACCCGAGCGCTGGCTGCTGGTCTCCCCACACCCTTGCGCTTAGGGAAGGACCCCCAGCCCTCGCTCAGCTTCTGCTCAGGGTCACCAGCATGTGGCCCTGCCCCCGGGCATCCGCAGCCGGTGCCCTGGACCTTCCTCACCGTCCGGCCTGGCCCCGCTGTTGTGGTGGCGCCTCTGCTCCGAATTGCGTGCTCAGCGTGCAGGCCGGGCCCGACCCCCTGCAGTTGTCCTGCTGCGCAGCACCGCGTGGGCTGTACTCTGCTTCATCTTGTGTTTTCATTCTCTTGCTAAAATTAGCTTCCGTAGAATTCAGCTTTACTTTCCTTAGCTTTCCTTTGCCCTCAGATCTGGCAGCCGGACCCTGGCTCTGAACTTCTGTGTTTGCAGCCAACCATGTGTCCTGCCCCCGATGTCTACACTCCGTGCCCGTGTCTTTGATCTCCCTGTGCACCTGCGGTTCTGTCCCGTGGAGCACAACTCTTGTCCCTTGCAGAGCCCTGAGAATCTTTTTTCTTTTCTTTTCTCTTTCTTTTTTTAAGAGACAAGGTCTTGCTCTGTTGCCCAGGCTAAAGTGCTGTGGCGTCATCACAGCTCACTGCAGCCCCAAACTCCTGGGCCTCCCTGATAGCTGGGACCGCGGGCACCACCATGCCTGACTGATTTTTCTTCTTTTAGTAGAGATGGGCTCTCACTGTGTTGCTCAGGCTGGTCTCAAACTCCCGGCCTCAAGTGATCCTCCTGCCTCGGCCTCCCAGAGTGCTGGGATCACAGGCCTGAGCCACTGCGCCCAGCCCCCCTGAGAACCTTAACCCACTTTCTTAGCCTTTATGAATTACACCTGGTTTCCCACATATACACACATACACACCACTTTTTAAAAATTTCTTACTTAATTGTGCTACTTTTGTTTTTTAATTGCTAATAGTAAAATCAGTACTATTTTCAATCTTTATTCATAGCATTTATTTTATATGCTAACTACTAGCTCTTAGTATATTAGTCTGAGAAGTTAGACAATTTTTCCCCCTGTAGAGAAGAGGTTTCAACTGCCAAACAGCTGATTTCCTTTTAGCACACAACCAATTTTAAAGTTCGGGGCTCCTTAAGTTTCACACAAACAAAAATTTACGTATACCTGCTAGTCTTTCAAGTTTCTCACTTTATTGGAAAAACTGGAATTGCTCCAAAGTACTTACTACTAGAAATTAGTTTTGGTTCTGCTCATTTTGCAAGCACCGAGACAGCTGGAGAAGGCGGCAACAGAGCCCATGGGCTGGGTCAGCACCCGCCTCGCTGAGGCCCTCATCCCCTCTGCTCCGCCTGCTGTGGAAGGGGGTTGTTGTCTGTCTCTCTCCTGAAGGTGCTGTCACTGCTGTGCGGTAAACATTTTCTGTCAAATTAATCTAGCAGTGAAATGAAATCTCGCAAAAATATTCTGCTTGAACTAAGAGCTTGATCATAACAGAAAAATTAAGTTTTTCAGTACATTTTTGGAAGACTCAGACATAGTTGATCAGTAAAGTGATTTTAACGTAGCTGTCTTTCAAATGTGGACGAGTGTAAGTCATTTCCTCACCAGGCGGGGGCTGCAGTAGGAGCCTCCCACACACCTGAACTGTCCTTCCATTAGGCGGGCGCTAATATCGACACCTGCTCGGAGGACCAGAGGACCCCACTGATGGAGGCAGCAGAAAACAACCACTTGGATGCTGTGAAGTACCTCATTAAGGCTGGGGCGCAGGTGGACCCTAAGGTAGGCGCCTGTCAGAGTCCTGTGTGTGCGCGTTTCTCAGAGGTGTGAGCAGGGGCCGCTCCCTAGGGAGCAACCTCAGGAGTTGTCGGCCTCTGCACGCCACTCAGCTGTCCAGAAGTAGTTTCTTGGCCTCACTTGGTCACCTGGTTTGTTAGTGAAGCCGTGAGTGAGCACTGGATCCGCAGTGCCTGGCAGTGGACAGATCCGCCTAGAAGGGGTCTGCGGTGCGGGAGCCTGTGGCTTCCTTCCTTGGTACACTCTCCTCTGTCTTCCGCCAGGGAGAC